TTAATGGAGACCTATTGCACCAGTGTATAGAAGATGACATTTTTTTAAAACTAGGAAAGGGGTTCATCAGTTGGGAGCCAGAATGGATCTTAGAGATCATCTCTTCTAACCACCTTGTTTCACAGATGAAGAAACTGAGGCCCAGAGAGGGTGCTCCTGACCCAGGGTCACAGACAGCAAATGGCAGAGTGGGATTCAAATCCAGGGCTTGTGACTGCACTCAGTGGTCTTTCCATTATGTCACATTGTCTCCATCCAGATCACGGGTTTTAGATAGCTCAGATATGGCGGTCACTTCACTTTACACTGCTTTTGCAAGCAGTAACAAGGGCTTCTGGGCTTTGTGGTCCACCAGGACATTCTTAGGGGGTTTCCTTGGATATGGAGTCTGGGGTCTCCAGCAACACCCAGGGAAGGAGATTTAATCAGTATTTAATTAGAGGACCAAATCAAAGCCTTGCAAATGTTTGCGTTGGTGTATTCAGGGTTGACTTGTTTTTTCCTTCCTTGGGAAAGGGAAGACTGAAGGGAAGTCTGTTAGCAAAGGAGCTGTTAACAGCAACAGAAACGCCAAGGCAGGTTCTGGGAGCATTTATTATACACTTACTGTGTGCTGGGGGGGGTGCCAAGCACCAGAGACACAAAGGAAGCAAAAACCAGGGCCCACCCTCCAGCAGCTAGCTTTCTCATGGGGGGAGACCATATGCACAGGCCTGGGCACATGGAGGCTAGATGGGAGCCAGGCTGAGGGGAATTTATTAGCAGTGGCAGGGTTGGGGAAAAACTTCCTGAAGAAGGTGGAATCTGAGTAGTGTCTTCAGGGAATCCAGGAGATGGGGTGGAAAGGAAAACACACCCCACGAAGGATGCCCCATGCAAAGGAACTGAGACAAGATGAAAGTTCATGGAACCCGTAAGCCAGTGTAGACGGGGGTCACGGGTAAGAATTCTGGACCAATATGGGAGGTGTCAGGTTGTAAAGCTTTAAATTTGATCCTCCAGGTAACTGGCAGCCATTGGAAACAACAACAAAGTATGAGCAGGGGCTTTGACTCTGGGAAAACCGTGTGTACATTCTGTGCTTGATACGTTTTTGAGGCAAATGTTCCTTTTGCTGGTTGGTGTTAGGTGATTCAAAGGAACTGGGGTCGTGGTTACTGACATCTAAGAGTGGGGGATGGGGACACAGCCAGGTGCGGCTTGATCAGATACAGTAGTAAAAACACCCCCAAGCCCTCGGGGTACCCTAGAACTCTGAGGGGAAGATGTGGCTGGCCTGGCTAGGAGAGGGAGCCAAACAACACGTCCTCCCTGTGACAGCGAGTAGGGAGGATGGTGCAGTCAGACCCAAGCTGACCGCGGCTGAGTGAAGGATAGATTGATATGGGGAGGGCTGTGAGGTAGGAAGACCAATTAGAAAGGTCCCTATTGGAAGGGTCCAAGCTGAGGTGAAGAGGGTTTGTACAGGATCAAGGATGATGCAAGGTTGTGAGCCTGGGTGACCAGGAGGATTCTAGTGTCTTCAACAGTCATGGGCAAATTAGGAAGATGGGAGGGTTTTTCTGTGGGGGGGTGAGTTTTGGTTTGAACATGGAGAGTGTGAGATGCCTGAGGGACTTGCAGTTCAAAATGTCCAGTAGGCAGTGAGTGACGAAGACTGAAGCTGGATAAATAGATCTGGGAATCATCTGCAGAGAGATGATAATTGCATCCCTGGAGAGAGTGTACAAGGAAAAGAAGAAGCGGGGCCCAAAGTCAGGGCCTTGAGGGACACCCACAGTTAGTTAATATAAAATGGAGAACCAACATAGAGGGCTGAAGGAGTGGTCAGATCAGTAGGGGAACCAAGAGAGGAGGGTCATAAGGACAGGGGTCATCTGGTTATCTGTTAGGTAGCCCCACGTGAAGAATTCTTCTCTTCCACTTTTTCCTCTTCTCTCCCCTCCCCCCATGTCTCTGCAACTTCATGACTTCTCCACCCCACCCAAACCCCACCTTATGGGACCATAAAGCTGCAAGGGATCTTGGAGACCAGCCTTATTTTACAGATAAGGAAACTGAGGTCCAGAGAAGACTTTCCCAAAATCATATATCCTTAATTAAAAATTAATTGGATGATTAATTGGTAAATAATTAATATCAGCAAAGCTGACATTTGAACCCAGGTTCTATGACTCCAAACCATCTTCTTTCCTTTTTACTCCTCTCCCCATTCTCCTATTATCTGCCCTGCTGCTCCTGAGACTCTTCCAAGAAAGGCCTTCATCATTCTTTCTTCTCCCTTTTAGGGATCCCTTGGATGCTTCTCCAAGGCCTGGCTCTCCATTCCACCTGCTTTTCTCTGGGGCAGCCTGGACAACACCATCTGTCCAGGAGTTTTATCCAAGATTCAGTAATTACGTGTGGGAGGGATGAAAGCAGGTGTGCTCAAGGAACCACCTAAGGGAATGCCCATTACTGCATGTCCCATTCTACACAACTGTTAGCAGCAACTTTCAAACCCAGCTCCTCCGATTCCAAAGTCAGTCTTGCTTGTTCAACATCATTTTTCCTCTCGAAGAATCTAACATACTCTGTGATTTAAGAAGCTATATTCAGAGTAGCTGCCTGCACATTTTTACTTCTTGCCTCTCCTGAAGCAGACAGCCTTTTCCAATTATACACAAATAGGAAGAAAGTTCAATGAGTTGAGCAATACTGACTATGACAGGGAGTGATAACATCACAGATACTTAGAGGCAAGGGGGACATTTTGCATAGTGTCTTTTTGAGTTATTTTTCCAACAGTGACCTTGAGTGCCATAAAGCCAACAACCACTCAGCTTTTGGAGCAATAAACACATTAACTCAGTATCCCTTCACCTCTGAGCCTCAGTTTCCCAATCTGCAAAAAGAGAATAAAACCTGCCCTTCCTATCAACCTCCATCTGGGTTGTCTGGGGAAAGCCGCTTGTGGATTGTATGCAAGCTTGGAATACATATCCTCAGTATCTAGAATACACCCCCCCTTTCCACCTTGACCCCTTTCAGATAACTTTCATCTGCTCGACAGAGATCTCGGATGTCCTAATTATTTATATCTTGTCTCCATCATTTGAATGTAAATTCCTGAGAGTAGGGACTGGTTTTTGCCAATTTTTTTTTTCCACCCCCAGCACTTAGCACTGTACTGGAACACAGTAAGCACTTAATAAATGTCCGTAGACTAATAAGTCAACCCTGAGACCTCGATGAATGTGATTTCAGCAGGGTACAGCCCCGAAGAACCAAGTGATAGTGGAACTCCAGTGTGGCAAGAAGGCTTTTTGGAGGGCAGCTAGATGGCACAGTGGATAGAGCACCGGCCCTGGATTCAGGAGGACCTGAGTTCAAATCTGGCCTCAGACACATAACACATACTAGCTGTGTGACCCTGGGCAAGTCACTTAACCCCATTGCCTAGCCAAAAAGGAAAAAAAAATCATTGTGAAGAAGGCTTTTTGGCTGGTTTTTACATCTTTGGGGCAAGTGCTGAAAATCTCAGAAGATCATTGTTTTCAGTGACATTTCCAGAAGCAAGTGTTCTCCCTGGCATCCTTGAAAGGCTCAGCTTAAGTGCCTGAGAATAGGAGGCCCAAGCCCCACAGCTGCTGGGCTGTTCCCCCAGAGAGCAGGTTGCATTGAATTTTAATTACTACAGGTGTGCTGTTCCCACCCGCTGATTACAGGCAAAGTCTGTTTTATTTGCAGGTGTTAAGATATATATCTATGTGTCCTCAGTACCTAACACAGTGGGTGCTTAATAAATGGAACAGAATACAGACATAAAGAATGAGCATGGGCATTATCAGCTGTTTACTCTGATGGGGGATTTGGCCCCTGTGCCTCTGTGCTCTAACGCATCAGAATATGGGAGGGGAGCCCCTGATACCCTGTCTCCAGATCACTTCAGAGCTCTTTCTCATCCCAGTTAGGGGCAAGTGACACTTAGCAGAAAGACTGCATAGGAGTTTAGCCAACATTCTCCTTTCTTGGAGGGAGGGAGGAAGAAGGGAGAGAAGGAAGGAAGGAAAAAAAGGAAGGTAGGAGGGAAGGATAGTGGGAGGGAGACAACTGTCAAAACATTTTAAATACATTACAAAAATAACTGTCAAACACAGAGAAAACAGATTACCAAACTCCTTTTAGGAAGTTATATAGGACTACTACCCTAACTTGGGCTAGACAAAGCAGAGAAATAGAATTATAGCCTAATTTCCCTAATGAATATTGATGAAAACATTTTAAAATACGACCTTAGCAGAGATTAGATCTGTCACTCTCTCTTCTCCCTCTTCCTCCTCCCCAATTATTCATTACAACCAATTTAGATTCTTCTAAGTGATGCAAGAAATACTTTCAAAATTAAAAAAAAACCCAATTAGCATAATCAAGAATATAAACAATAAAAACAAAAGGATGTGCTCCTCTGGCCAAAGAACCAGTCATTACTATATTGTCTGTTGTGGTTTCAGAAAGCTTAAATCCTATTCTCCAAAACCACCTTCTTAGCCAGCTAGTAGTTAATTTTTGATATCCTATTTTCTCATGTAAGATTCTTACCTTAAGCAGGCAATAATGTCTTTTAGTTTCCTACCCAAGGCTTCATAACTTCTGGAAATTCTTTAGGAATGAGAAAACATTGCCTTTTAAAATTTTTTATCGGTCATTTCGAACCCTTCTCCACCCCATGGATTCAATCCTCCCTTGTCAAGAAGGAAGGAAGGACATAAGCATTTATTAAGCTCCTACTATGTGCCAGGAAGCAAAATAATTAAGCCAAAATATCCAGTACAGAGACCATATCTGGCATTATATACAACATTTATCTAGTTTTGCCACTAAGGGTGAGATAATTTTCGTTATCTAATGAAGTACTTTAGAAATAACCCATTTATCATTAGTTCATCTGCCTATAAGCATGTCCTTTTACTAAAGCAAGTCACTCATCTATTTGCAAAAACTTTGTTAGCCCTTTATGGTTACTGTTTGTACATGAAAGTAAAAAAACTTTATTTTTTAAATCAAATTTTGAAAAACCACACACACAAAGTAACTGCTTCCAGAAACGAGACATATAGTTCAGGTCTTTCCACTTCAGCACCTCTACATATGAACAATGTTTTCTGAAGTCCCAATCTGCGTGGCCTTCAATATGTTATAACGCCCAATTAGCATTCCTGAGTGCTTAGCTTGGGCCAGGCACCATGCTAGGCTGTGGGGAGGCAAGGGTGAAAAAGAAACCACGCCTGCCCTCTAGACGTTCACATTCTCTAGTCCCAAAGGGTTATTCTACAGTCTTCATCTCCCGTCATTAAAGTGTACACCATGAAGAGTTGGTTGAGAAGCATTCCAACCCCAAAAGGGCACCAAATCTACCCAGAATTTAAACATAAAAACCTGAAAGAGTGAAACCCCATGTTTTTTACTACCAGATGACCATAACAATAACCCAGTGGACACAGAAAGTTCAAATGTTTCCTGGAATGGAAAAGTCATTTAAATCTCTCTGGGACTCCATATTCTCATATACAAAATTAGAGGGTTGTACAGGAGTCTATAAACTACTCAAATCGAACCCTAACCTTAATTCTCTCCAATGACGCAGATTTCAGTTCATCCATGCCCGCCTCTCCTATGTCTGGCCAATATAATGTCATCACTAAGCGGCTAGCCTACCGGGAATGTGCTTCCCCACAAAAAGCCAGCATGGTCTTTGGAAAATTGACTTGGTCTGTTACAGGGGCCATAGGGAAGGCCTTTTGTATGAAGAAACAAAGTAAATTATGTTCAGTACAATGTTAGTGTTGTGTATTACAACTCTGAAAATGATTAATCCATATATCACATCTCTGGCCACACTCTTCTTTAACCTTCATTATATCATGTTGTTGGGTTGGTTTTTTTTAGAAAACTCCATTTTTACCAGTAGTCCTGCATAAATGAGTCTACTATAAATAAGAGTTCTATTAAGTCCCTACCAGTAAATTTTTCCTGTGACATGTTCAAATCTTTAGGCCTTTTTTGTATAATTGGCAAAATCCACCATTTTCCTTCTAAGAAGATTTTTTTTTTAGTACTGATCTCTTTATTTTTTTTTTAAAGAGTACCACAAGAGAGCTCTCCTCTACTGCCAACCTCAAAAACAAAATACAATGACACAGGAGGCAGCCACTGCAAAGAGGGGTGGGGTCTGAACAAGTGAAAGCAAAGTGGGCCCCAGGACAAACACTGCCTTGAAAGGACTCCCCATCGGCAAGTTCTCAGTCCAACCTCACCGCAAAGTCCTTGACTTGGTCAGAGCCAAACGCAGGGTCAACAGCTCCTTTCCTTTTGCGTGAGCTGCCAATACTGGATTAGTTCCTTGGGAGAATAGCCATGGGCAGCAACCAAGCGCTTGAATTTACAGGTATTAAATCTAATCCGGTACAAAAAAAAGAGATCATTGGACTTGGGAAGGTGGATGTCCACTTTTAAGATGCTCAGGGTGATCCCAACGTAAACGTCTTCAAATCTGATGGGCTGACGTGGGCCATCATTTCATACACTCGGAGAACCAAGTCTCTGGATAGCACGTAACCCAAGCCGCTGCAGTACGGTGGAAACACCCTAAAAGGATACTCTTGGTAGGAAATATATGTTTTTTTGAAAAATTCTCTATTGGAAAAATTCTCTATGAGAGGGTAGCCCATGAAAAAGTTCTCAGACTGGTTGTATGTCAAAAGATATTTCACTAAGTTTCCAGTGTTGATAAAAACATCAGAGTCTGCCTTCATTACATATTTAGTTGTTGGGCAAAACTCTGTAACCCATCTGAATGCCATGATTGTCTTTAAGGTCAGGTTATAGTACGTATCTATAAAGTCCTGGCGGATTATGTCACCATAAAGAATGCTTTCATCTTGTACAGATAAGGCCAGCGTGTTATCTTCTGGCTCCATTTGGTGGCCTAATAAAAAGTAGGTTAGGACTTCTTGTCCCCACCAAGACTGCTTTGCACCCCAAGTAACTCGAATGGCCTGTCTGGCTTTCACATCCGCAGGGCGTGAGGTCACCAAGATGACAAGGAACGGGTCCTGCTCTGAGCAAGTTACCCACTCTCGCAGCGTAAAGGCAAATTCTGAGTGGTTAATGGGCTCGTACTCGTAGAAATACATCCAGTTGAGGTTCTCGATGACAGTGTAGGAGGGGAGGTTGAGGTACCAGAGCAAGGTGACCGTGAGGAGGCAGAGTAGCCAAAGGCTGCATCTCAGGCATCTCACAGACATTCTGGGCCTTCGGGTGGCCAAAGGGGAGGCTGGAGTTGCAGGTTTTGGGGGCTTGTAAAAGAGAGCCCCAAAATCTGAAAAAAACCAAGGAGGCCTAGATGAGTACTTTCCTATCCTAGTGGTCCCTTGTCAAATGGTTTGTGACACACAGTCTGGCTGCCTGCAAACTAATACCGACACACGGAAATGCATTCCCATTACCTCCTGCTCTCCAGGCTTGCTGTAGACTTCCTATCATGGCCCCAGCCAGATTCCCACCCCACACCCTCCAGCTTCCTTGTATCTCACACTGCTAAGAGCCTTTCTAATGCTCTTCCATAGACCATGAGCTCCTGCAGGGCAGGGACTCCTGCTTCTTCTTCGATCCCTAGTACATAGCATCATGTTTGGCACATAGTAGGTACTCAATAAATGTTTATTGATTAGTGAATTGAAACAGGCTGTGTCCTTTGATTAGGGTTTTTGTTTTGTGCCCTTTTTTCTCTCCTTTGCTCCACGTAACCTAAGTCTCAGTTTCCTCACTTGTAAAATGAAGAAGGTGAGCTAGATCTTAGGTGTCAAACTCACAATACTCCTGAGTACAGCCCAAACCAGATTAAAATGTAATGGAAACGATTTAACCAAATAAATAAAAGTAAAATAGAACACAGATAATGTTAACGTGTGGTTTTCTAAGTCAATATGCAGTCATAGGAACTCTTCTGTACATTTAATGGTGCCCCCCCCCCAAATGGAGTTTGGGCTCAGTGACGTTCAAAGACCCTCCCAGTTCTTCAAGGAGGAAAAGGAGTGAATGCATGAAAAACACCACCAGCAAAATGCATTTCTCCTCCATGTGCTAGCTGCTGAGGCCCCTTCCAACAATAAACTCTGATTCCACATGCACCTATGAAGCACCTACTATGTGGCAAGCACTGGGCTAAGCACTGGGGATACAGAGAGAGGCAAAGGAAAGCCCTCAAGGAGCTTACAGTCTAACAGGAGACAACATGCAAACAATGCAGGAGACATCAGAGGGAACCATCAGATAGAAGGCATTGGCGTTGAGGGCGATGCGGAGGGCTTCCTGTATGGATTTTAGCCATGATGAAGGAGGCCAGAGAGGTCAGGAGGCGGAGAAGAGGAGGGAGGGCCCTTCAGGTGTGTGTGTGTGGGGGGGGTTGATGACAAAGGAAAATGCACCTTGGGCTTCCTGGCCCCAAATCCACCCTGTTCGATGTACTACTCAAAGAGACAGGTAAAGAGGAACCCAAATAGTCTGGTCTCCCAGTGCCTTAAGATTAGGCCAAGATAAGGAAAACTTGAAACCCTACTGCTATGGGTGAAGAGAGATGTGCACTGAAAGGAGCTAAGGACCTTACACTGGATGAGGCCTGGGGGATTTGGTGCTTAAAAGTCTACTTATCCTACCCTGGGAGAGAGGGAACTGGAAGCCCAGGGGGCAACGGGCATCTGGAACACTAGGAGAGCATGGATACCAGGAGGAGATTTCCAGGCAAATGTAAAAAAAAAATCAATGAGAGACTATAGGGAGGGGCTCTCCTAGGAGCCACTGCACGGATACCTGCAATAACTGGCATTATTCTGGGAGTGAGGCCCAATGGAAAAGAGGAATCCATGGGACAAATTCTACGAGGCATTGGCAGAACTGCCTAGAGGGGACAGCCTAGAATGGATACCTTGGAAGCTTTGATTTTGTGAAGAATATAGAGAAAAGAGAGAGACCAGATAATTACAGGGGCCGTGAATCAGAGAATGAGGATCTAGAGCAGGTGTGGGGAACCTGCAGCCTTGAGGCCACATAAGGCCTTCTAGATCCTTGAGTGCAGCCTTTTAGAACAAATCTGGATTCCACCAAAAGGCCACACTTAAGGATCTAGAAGGCCTCATGTGGCCTCAAGGCCACAGGTTCCACCACCCCCACCTCCGGTCTACAGTAAATAGAAAGAGAATATGAATAATGAAAAGAGTGAGAAAAATCTTTTTTGGAAAGAGGCACAAAAAAAATTTAAAAAATAAGGAACAGGACTAGGGGAAGGGGATGAGAAGACGGGTGATTTAATCAAAGGAGAAGAGGGGATCAGGGTGAGGGGAACAGGACTGCCTTTAAAAAAAGATTAAAATGAAGGAACATAATACTGTCTTTACAGCAGAAGAGTGACCTTGAAACTGAAAAGTTTCTGCACAGACAATATTAGTGCATGTAGGATGAGAGGGGAAGTGACCAAATAGGAAGAAAAAAGAACCTTTGGATCAAATTTCTCTGGTAAAGGTTTGGTACCTAAGATAAATTAATAAATATAGCTAAAACTAATAGCCATTCCCCAATAAATAAAGAGCTAAAGGATATGAACAGTTCTCAAAAAAAACTTAAACCACTGTATAATATTCATAATCACATGAAAAAAAGTGCTCCAAATCACTAATAATAAAAGAAATTAAAAGCAAAACAATCCTGAGGTTTCACCTAATACCCTTCAAACTGGCAAAAATGACCAAAAAAAAAAACCCCCCGAACAGTCAATGTTGGAGGGGTTGTGGATAGGCACACTAATACATTATCGGTGGAGCTGTGAATTAATGTGACTATTTTGGAAAGCAATTTGGAATCATGCAAATAAAGTAACTCAAATGTCCATACCCTTTGAACCCAAGATTCCATTACTGGGCTTCTATCCCAACAAAGCCATTGATAATACAATGGCATACTACTGTGCTATAAGAAATGATGGGTGTGATGAATACAGAGAAGCAAGGGATGAACTGATGCGGAGTGAAGTGAGCAGAACCAGGAGAACTATTTTTACAATGACTAGAACACCATAAGAAAACTTCAAAACTCAAATGAGGGCAATAATCAAGCCCAGCTCTAAAGGCCTGAGGATAAAGCCTGCTGGCCACAGCCAACTCTATTCTGTGGGATTATGACATGATTAAATTGGAGGGAGAGGAGAGAGGGCTAGTGATAGTAACACAAAAAGAGAAAAAATATCAATAGAGCATTTTTTTTAAATGCACAGAAGAGTTCAGAATGAAATTAAATAAGTGAAATAGCTTTAGGAACTAATGAGAAAAGTCAAGTTGCATTTGTTCATAAGTCCATGCTTTAAATGAAAAGATGGCTAAGGAATGGTAGCTCGAAGTTTTTAAAACTATTTTTCTTGTTCAGTCATTTGCACTCATGTCCAATTCTTTGTGACCCCATTTTGGGTTTTCTTGGCAAAGACTGGAGTGGTTGGCCATTTCCTTCTGCAGTTCATTTGACTGTGATGAGGAAACAGGGTTAAGTGACTTGCCCAGGGTCACACAGCTAGTAAGGAAGTGTCTGAGGCCAGATCTGAACTCAGTCTACTGTGCCACCTAGCTGCCCCCAAAAGAAAACTATGGACATAGGCAAAAATAAAAGAGAGTAGGTTCAGCTATGATGACATAAGAAGAATATAAATTAAGGGCTCAATACACAAAAATGAAATAAATCAGTCAGTGGAAAATCAAATACTTGGAAATCTATTTTGTCTTAAGTAGCATTTTCATTTAAGCTTTGAAAAGAATTATGGTACCCATGACAATTCAAGCAAAATGCCAGTCACTCCTAATAATTATATCAAGAAAAAGAGAGTGGTATGAGCATATGCTTTATTTTAAAACACACTTTTACTTGCTATCTTTTGTTTTTGCATCATCTACATTTCCTAAAATATCTGTCCTAGAGAGCAATCCCTTATAAGAGGTGTGGGAAAACTTTTTGGCATGGTTTGAACCTAGCCCTGCCTGGCTGAGAAACCAGAACTGTTCAATGTTTAACTCTCGACCTCCAGTTATGCTGTCCAGAAATGCAGTCAGATCCGAAGACTGATGAAAGGAATGCAAAGTTTTCTTCCAATATACATCTGAAAGCTGTGCTGGTCAATCAGATAGTGTTTCCTTATGCATTTCATTGAATCCTATTTAATATGTAACTTACAGACATGGGGGAGGCACCTCTTTTCTGGCTCTCCCCTTCTGCAGAACTTAATAAATTTCTTCCCTAAATTATTTCAGTTTAGGAATCTTTTGTCTTCAGCTAAAGTAGAATTTTTTTTAAAAGGGGGGGCAGTTTGACGAAGTCCACCAAGCTATGGAAAGAGCCTGACATTCTGTGCCATGTTCCACCCTCATAATCTCCCAGATAGGTCAAATTTAATAGGTAGATTTTGTACTCTGCTCCACCTGGAGGGAAGGCTGGGTTAAGTTCTGGGTCCCACAGTTAAGAAAAGGGCCATGAGAAGTGAGGAACACTCATAGGACTATAGGATGGTTGGGGGCCTGAAAATCATACCATAATGTTTTGGCTCAAATGGCATTTTCTAAAGCACGACATGTTTTTGATATGAAAAGGAAAAACGGATCAGCAGGCATATTTTTCTTCTGCACTTCACATATTACTAGCACAGGGAATGGGGGTGGGATCTTTGAGCATCATGCCTTAATACTGTTATTTAGGAAAAACGACTATGCCATTGACATCAGCTCAGAAGCTCTTAACCTTGAATCTGTGAACTTGCTTCCCTGTGAACTGTGTTTCAAAAGAAGTGGTTTCCTTCATCATCCTCTGTGTTTTATTTTAAATAAATAAATTTTAAAAATTTTAATTAAAAAAAAAAATCGAGGCTCCAACCCTAAAATGTCTTACAAAATACAAATGACCAAAATTCTGTTTTGCTGTTCATCTATTGGTCCTCTTTGAGAATGAACAACAGCACAATAACAATGTATTTTATTTTATGCGCTTAAAAAATTCTGCGAGAGAAGCTGCAGGCTGTATCAAGAGTGTCCAAGACACAAAAAAGGCTCAGCTGCCCTGCATTAGCTGCTCTGTGCATTTTGAAGGGTCGGCTTCCAGCTCTTCTCAGCTAAGTTTAAAAGCCTTTCACTTTCCTTTCTTTAAAAAAAAAACAAAAAAGATGAAAACTAAAAGCGTTTGTGATCCTTTAGGAATGCTGGGCTCTTTGTAACACATTTCAATTAGTGTACATCAATACTGGGTGATCCGGGTCCAGTGAATGCATTACACAGAGAAGGTCAAGAAAAGTTTGCCAGGAATCAAGACTGGGGCTGTCATTTCATTGGTTGAGGGACTCAATCCCCAGGTAACAAAACTTCCTCCCAATGCAGGTCAGCACCTTCTCTGCTGCCTCAGCCTCAGGGATGTCTAGATTAGAGGTGTCCAAAACCTGGCCCACAACACACCCCAGGAGGGTCTGAGCCAGATAAAAATTGAATTGGGAAATATTTAATAAAATAAATTTTGAAACAAAACAAAAATCACATTACATTTTAAATTAGTGAATGAGGTCCACAGAGATGTACAGTGCAGTGGCCCCCATTCTATCTGAGCTTGACCCTGCTGGACCAGATCACTGAGAGGTGTTGAACCCATCTCCACCCACGCCGTTACTCTCCCTCTAATAATGGGTCTAAATGACTTTAACTAAATTGAATTTCTCCATTATGGCAGATTTTTCCACTGGATCTACTTTATAGTATCTACATCACCAAAGAATGTCTGTTGGCCCAGATCTGAAGACAAGTTTGTTTAATAAGCAGTGATCGTGCTTACTGACCTGAAACAAGAATACCAGAGGTAATCTCATCAGAGCCCTTTTCCAGATGAAGAAATGAGGCTGGGAAAATCGAAGGGCTCTCCCTAAGGTCATCTAAGTAGGAAGTTATTTGTTAAAATGGGTTTTAGACCCATACCAGGAAAAGGTAGGAAAGCAGAACTAAGTCATAAGTTATACGGGTGAGATGGGACTGGAGAGAAGTCTCATGAGAGCCAGAGGCTCTGGATGTGAATCCTGCCTCGGTCCATCTCAACCCTCTGGGCCTCAGTTTCCTCATCTCTAAAATGAAAGGGGCAGGACTCAATGACCTCCAAGTTCCCTTCAAGCTCCAGGCACTGTGCTGAGTGCTGGGGGCACAAAAAGAAGCCAATCATTGTCCCTGCACTCAAGGAGCTTTTTAATGTAATAAATATCAGTCATTTTTACTATTTCCATAGAAAAATTATTCTGTAAGTATATTTACTTGTGTTTTTTAATCTTTCCTTCAAACAAAGCAGTTGTTCTGGATACAATATCCTCAAACAAAGCATCATGAATTAATAAAAAAAATTTTAATTAAAAAATTGGGGCAACTAGGTGGTAAAATTGATAGAACACTGGCCCTGGAGTCAGGAGGACCTGAGTTCAAATCCAGCCTAAGACACTTACTAGCTGTGTCACTTGACCCTGATTGTCTAAAAAAAATTTTTAATTAAAGAAAAATTTAAAAAGCAAAAATAAAAAACCGATGAAATCTATGATCCTATGAGGGTAGGAAGACCTGGGTTTGGCATCCTGCCTCAAGTACTTATTGGCTGTGTGACCCTGGACAAGTCATTCAGCTTCAGTTTCTTCACTAATGGGGCTCAAATAGTTGTCACTTACTTCACAAGGCTGTCATGAAGATCAAATAAGATAATGTATGTAGAACGTTCTACAAACCTCAAACTGCTGTCTGTTGTAATAATTATTAATGTTATTATTGTTATTTTCTAGACCAGTGACTTCTTTGGTGGAGTGAACTGCCTCTTCCTAACTTCGATCACTAACATCCTGCAGCTTAGCTTTTCAGAGAGCTACCTAGGAACGGAGGTGGTCAAATAATCAGTCTTTGGAGAACTAAAGTCTCGACTGCGCATACTAAGCCAGTCTCTGGCACAGAGGCCTTGGGCCCTTACTGAATAACCACACCAAACAATTATGATGAAGCTTTGAAGGAATCTTCTTGGTTGGAAAGAATCAAATGGAAATTATATTAATGTAAGTTATAAAATAACAAATTCTGTTTGTCATCTTAGCAACACTTCTGAAGTTTTAATCCTGGCTTTTGGCAACAGCATTTAAGACAGTAACTTCAAACTTTCAGGAAACACTTCATCTCATATACAGTTGCTTAAGGTATGTGTGGCCTGGCCATTACATGGAATATTTCAGACTAATAACTTGTTTCTGTTGACTCAAAAGGACCAGGCATCTTGGCTCCAGTACAGATAAGTATGTCCATTTTAAGAAAAGCTGGATGAGCTAATCTGGGGGAGGGGGGGATACCTTACATTGTGTCAGGTAACAAAAACAACTGAGACATTCTCAGTGAGTGCAGTTAGCAGTACAGTTAACAGAGATTGTCAATAAGGAAATAAACTTCTCCTTAAAAAGAAAATCCCTCTTAAGCACTGTTTATTTTGCACAAAAATGATTTGGAAATCCCCCAAGATCTTTTCAGCAGGTATACAATGTCAAAATTATGTTCACGATAATACTAAGATGCTTAAATGTCTATTATTCTAATATCAATGGATATAACCTCACATGAAGAAAAGCATTTATGGGTGGGGGTGGGGAGTGATGGTCCGCAATCATTTTTAAAAGCTATGTGGGCAGGTAGGTGGTACAGTGGATAGCATGCTGAGCCTGGAGTCAGGAAGGTAGGAGTTCAAATTTGGCCTCAGGTATATACTAGCTGTGTGACCCTGGGCTAGTCATTTAACCCTCTTTGCCTCAGTTTCCTCATCTGTAAAGTGAACTGGAGAAGGCAATGGCAAACCATCCCAGTATCTTTGTCAGAAAAAAAAATAAAAACCCAACTGAAAGGACTGAACAACCACAAAGGAGTTCTGAAATTTAAAAGAAAAAAGTTTGAGAAAGGCTAGCTTAAGAGTTCTCCACCCTCCCTGGCCAGCAAAGTCAGACCATCAAAGATTCTTCAGGTCAGTGGCTTATCCTATCAGAGAAAAGACAACTGCAGAACATACCAGCGCTCTCAGACTGGGGTAGAAGGAGGGCCTGCTGTTCTCGGAGATTGGTCCAGGCCTAGTTCCATCCTCATCTCCGTGGTCAGGGTCAATGTTGCAATGCCATCCTCCACCAGACTACACTGGGAAGAGAGCACAGAGAAATGGCACCAGTCCATGGCCCCCTCTCTCCTTCACCTAACGGGCAGACTCGAGTTGGTCTGTGTAATTTTGTTTATTTTTTCCCTTGGAAACACACTTCTCCTCCCCGCCCCCACCTCAAACCATAACCACATTCCTCTCCTTCAAGAACCAGGTTTTCACTTAGATTCCCCCTTTTTGGCCGTAGAGGCAGCAAATGGTCAGTTATGGGGAAGCGGAGTATTCCAAATGCAATCCCGGCCCGAGGCTCGCTAGCTGGGTGACCCTGGCTATTAGCATTCCAGCCAGGCCTCAGTTTCCTCCTCTGTAAAAAGAGGAATATGGACTGGATCGGTAGCATTCCCCCCTCCCCCAAGTACATTTGTGATTCCGTAGGCACATTTCTTAGTAGGGTAAGTGATTCCCCGGCTGGGAGACCAACCTTTCTGCAGACTTAGGGGTCCCGGAGAGGGAAGGGACCGATTCAACCCTGGCTGGGGACCGGGCTCTGTCCACACGAGGGAGGTCTCTGGTTATGGAAGCAACAGTGTCACCAGATGCCGGCGGAGAGATCCACGGGGCTCCCCAGCGAGCACGCCCCCCCCCCGCCCCAAGCCCAGGTTCTGTTCGAAAACACGAACTAAGAGGGGAGGTGGAAGGGAGCGGGGACGATCCCAGTTCGAATCCTCGATCTTCTCCCAGAGTGACCTTGGGTATGGGGGCACTAGATGCCTGTAAGGCCCCAGCCTTGCAGGGTCTAACTTCTCGCCGGCAGAGAGACTCCGAAAACCCCACTGGGCACCCGCCCAGGGAGCGGGAGGAAGGGGGAGCTCAGTGAGGCCCCCTCCCCGCTGCACATCTAGGGGGGAAGGGCGTGGTGTCTTCCCGTCCCTCCTGCCCCCCGCTCAAGTCGCGGCCCCGCCCTACCTGTCCGGCAGATCCATCGGGCCCCCTCTTTCCCTGTCCCGCCTTTCCCGCTCCTTGCACGAGAGATGAAGGCCGGGACTGGAAGCCAGGCCCACTCGGGACCTAGAGGTACCGCGACCCCCGCCTCGGCCCGGCCGGAGTTCCCGGCGTCGGCCCCTGCGGGCAGCTCCGTCAGCTCGGCCGGACGCCCAGTTCCTCCCTTACTTCTCCCTTACTCCTCCCTCTCCCCGGGCCCCTTCCGAGGGCGCGCAGAACGCCCCCCGGGGGATGCCTTGTCTGGGCCCCCTAGGCCGAAGCCCGGGCGGATCACTTAGCAGAGGAACCCTCTGCTCCCCACTCGGTGGAGGGAGTCAGTGAGGTCCCCGCCGGGCCGGGGCCCGCGTGGGGCGGAGGGCGGGGCCCGCGGGGGAGGGCGACTCCCTCCGTGCTCCGCCCTGTTAATCCCAGCTGGCTCCGACCCGAGTGGGAGCTCACGGAGGGCAGGCGCCCACTAGCGACGCCTGGGCCCGACTAGAGCCTTAGGGCCCCTCGCCTAGGCTGCTCAGGGCGCGAGCCAACGGAGAGCCCGGGGCAGAGGCCGGACCTGGGGGGAAGGACAGGGTGGGATGGCGGGGGGGGGGGAAACTTCCTGCCTCAGTTTCCCTGCGGGGTCATCAAGAAGTCGGTAGCTGCGGAGGCCCGTTCTGCAGCTCAGACGGAAACTGCCTGTCCTGGGAGTGTGGGTGGGTCTCCCTCCTCCGGACCTTTGCCTGGCCCTAGTCCGTATCGCGTTGCCAATTTCAGCCCCGGCACAGCCTCAGTGAAGGTGGCCCGTGTCACAGTGAGCTCACTAGTGGGCCCCGCGAGCTCTTGGAACTCGAGGAGGTTTTGGTAGGTGTCCTTTCGGAGAACATGAGCACGGCCCCACCGACAGCAATTCGGGACTGTGAAAGGAGCGCCGGTTCTGGCCTTCAGACACTCGCTAGCCGTGCGACCCCGGCAATTCCCTTCACTTCTGCCTGCCTCAGTTCCTGATCTGTAAAAGGAGGCTGACAAGAGCACCGACCTCCCCAGGGTGGTTGGGAGGATAATCTAACATAATGTAAGTAAAGGGTTTTGAGAACGTTAGAGTGATGTGTAAATGCCAGCTGGTAGGATTACCTATGCAAACCGGCTCACAGCCCAAGCTCCCCTAGACCAGTCCAGATTAAACATGTGGGCTAGTCCTATTCTCCCCCAAGCCCCTAAGCCCAGGAAGGAAGTAATTCAGAATGTAAAGAAACCCACTTCTGTGAAGCATGTTGGGTGTCTGCCTGAACACTGGCAGACCAGCCTTTTGAATCCTGAACTTTCTTTAGGCCTGCTTTCCAAACATTTTGCCAAGTCATTACTGAAAACAGTCTCTGGGCTGCTGCTGCCCTTTACAGATGGGGTCCCCATGGCAGCATCCAAATGGCCAGCATGACCCAACCTCCATTGGAGGAGAGAGCTCAGCTCAGCCATCTCTCCTCACCTTTCTGTACTATCTTGGGATTTCTCTGGCTAACTTCTCCAGCATGTCCCCACTTTGGGGACCTTCTCCTGCCACCACTTTTTGCCTTCCCCCATTAGACTGTAAGCTCTATGAGGACAGGGACTTTCTTTCTTTCTTTCTTTCTTTCTTTCTTTCTTGCTTGCTTGCTTGCTTTCTTCTTTCTTTTTCTTTCTTTCTTTCTTTCTTTCTTTCTTTCTTTCTTTCTTTCTTTCTTTCTTTCTGTGTTTCTATCCCCAGCACTAAGCATAGTGCCTAGCATGTAGTAGACACTATTAACTCTGACCTTTACACATGTGTGTGACGGCATTGACATCAGAGTGGTCCCAGCCTGTTCACCCCACACTGAGTTGGTCCTGGTGTGGAAACATATTGCAAAAACAACAACAAAGAAAAAAAACCCTACACTCTTCTAGTTTCTCTAGAAGTATCAAGAAATAAATATATCACCAAGTCTAAAAATCTTATCCAGTTTGAAAGCGAGTAGTAGCCCAAGAAAAAAAAGGTCTTTCTTAGGGAGGTGGATTAAGGGTGGAAACTGGGAATGTTTTTTTGTCCAGGTGGAAGCCTGAACAAAGAGTCCCTCCAGCCTGGCCAAGATTTTTGCCTTTCCCATCCTCTAAGGCAGGACCCACCTATGAGCAGCTCTCTGTTCTCTATTCTGAAAGGATTAATGTTGATCACTGGAAGAAGGTCCCTTCATTACTCCTGGGAAACGGGACAGAAGGAGTTCAAGATGCAGTTGAGTGACTATTCAGTGACTGTTGTCTCACTTGTACAAAAAGAATTGTTCACTCCCAAACTGTTCTTTAATAAGTTGGGATTTCCCCGCCTAGTTCAGGATTCCCAGAAATGCTACTTCAAATAGGGAAATGATTAAGGGCACGTTCAAATGACAGCTTGGACATTTTGATCTCTAATCTACAACGTGCTTGGAAACTAGATGATGTTAAATTAAATAGAGCACAGTCTAGTTATGTTATGGTTCCTAACATTTCTCTGTGTTTTTTCCCCTGTGCCAATTATTAAGTCCCTCTTTAGAGTAAGGGAAACAGAAAATTAAATTAGAAAAATAAATAGCACTCTTTAAAAATTATTAATGCCATGTCAGATTGGATTGAAGGAACTCAAGATGTTTAGCCTGGAAAGAGAAGACTTGGGGCTATGTTTCTGTATTTGAAGGGTTATGTTTGGCTCCAGAACTAGAAGAAATGGGTGGGAAAGTTCAGAGAGGCAGATTTAAGCTCAATGTCAGGAAAAGCCCCACAAAACTTCCTCATCATTGGGGCACCTAGGAGGTGCAGTGGATAGAGCACCAGCCCTGGAGTCAAGAGGATCTGAGTTCAAATGGGATCTCAGACCAGATACTTGACACTTATTAGCTGTGTGACCCTGGGCAAGTCACTTAACCCTAATTGCCTAAAATATATATATTTTTTTCTTTTTAGGCCCCTAATTGCATAAAGTAAAACAAACAAACAAACAAGCAAACAAACAAAAAACCTTCCTCATCAGGAGCTCTGATCTAAAGTGGAAAGCACTGCCTTGGAGGGGAGGTTGCAGCTTCTCCCTCACCCAAGGTCTTCAAGCAAAGGCTCAGCGTGTCCTTGAGAGGCTTCCGATTCAGGTTTCTGCTGCCATGATCGTTATTGTTGCGTCGTTTTCAGTTGTGTCCAGCTCGGTGACCCCGTGTGGCGTTTTCTTGTCAGAGATACTGGAGCGGTTTGCCGTTTCCTTCTCCAGCTCATTCTACAGATGAGGAAACTGAGGCAAACCCAGAGTCACACAACTAGTAAGTGTCTGAGGCTGGATTTGAACTCGGGAAGATGAGTGTATCTGACTCCAGGCCCAACGCTCTATCCACTACAGCGCCCAGCTGTCCCATGAGTTCACTAGATAGCCTTTAAAAGTCCTTCCATCTTGAAGATTCTATAATTTGGAAAATCGTAGAAGCCCGAATTCTTTAGTGTCTAAGGGCTTTTAGTCTTCTGTATGATTTCTGTCATAGCCACTTGATAAATATTCAAATCAAGCACTCAACCAGTGATTTTTTTTCTCCCTGTTGGGCACAGCAGGTGCCCCTGTACCCTCTCTATTCAGGAGGATGATGAGTACAGCAAGGCTGATACCTTCTTCCCCACCTCAGCAGCCAGTAGGAAAGAAAGCCTGTTAATAACAGATCTAGTCATGTGTTGTCGGCAACTCGATTAATGGACTGAAAAAAAATTCCTTTCCATATTTGCAAGGACGCTTCAGACCATTAGTATTATTTTTCACAGACTCTGTCTCATCATAAACCTCCCACCCTCTGTCTATTTTTTATTGTTGAAATGCCCTGTGGGAACTTGGAGATGTGTATTCATCGCTGCTACCCAGTTCTGTCTCTCTTTTAAAGCAACCTAGGAGTAGAAGAAACCAATGGAAAACAGCTTGCCAGTACCAGATCTTCCCTGATAAAATAAAGCAGGGCAGGGCAGATATAAAATCAGAATCCGGGCTCTGAGATGTGCAGGGTGCTTCTGCTGAGTTGTTCTTTTTGTGCCATTTATCAGCAGAATGACCAAAGGCGGGGAGACTGAGGAGCAGCTTCACCCAGTGCCCTGGGCTGGAGAGGTGGGGCTGATTTAGGCTGAGGAGGACGTTTCTCGGATTAGGCTCACAGATTCTCAGGGTTGGAAGGACCTCAGAGGTCATCTCATTAGTTGTGTGTTCTGTTGACTCATTCTAAAATGACACATTCCAGAATAATCCAAGCTCATTGCCCGCAGTGACTTTCATCTTGTTCTTGCTATGGCAAGCCTCCAGTATATTCGGTCAGGCTGAAATAATTTATTAAGCCATGGATACAAAGAAAGGGGGTGGGGTAGGGAATAGCCCCTGCCCTCCAGAATTCTTATGGGGGAAACAACATGTAAATACATGTGTACATACAAGCTACATACAGTGGAAAGGAACAATGATCTCTAGGGTCAGGCAGAAATGGGGGGGGGGCGTGCTGAGTCTTCTGCCAATGGTGGGACTTGAGCTCAGTCCCCAAAGGAAGGCAAGAAACCAGGTGATGAGGGGGAGTTCTTGACACAGAGTAGGGGCTTAATATTCACTGGATCAAATTCCATTCATCCTGATATCTTTGTACCTTTAAGAAAAAGTTGACACATTATTCATGTACTCCTACCAGGTCAATAGCTCATTTAAGGATAAGAATATTTTTTTCTTTTCTTTTTATTGTGTAAGAATAACAAATATTGATTGGTCAATTTAGAATCTTTTGGAATTAGTATTCTTCAGTAGTCATCAGCAAAAAGAACTTGAAGAGAGTGTTTTTAAAAAACTGGTTTATTTGCTCACTAAGTAGGAAGCTAGCACCCATTAACACATCCTGGGAAAAAAGCTCCTTGTCTTATTTCAAACACACGCGCACACACACACACACACACACGCACGCACGCACATGCACACACACAAACATGGTCTAATCAATCAGGAGGAAAACAATCTGGCATTGCTACACAAATATATAATCTGGAGGCAGGATACTATGAGCCTGATTATAAGCCACAAAAGGCAAGGGCATCTGAGATTTGTAACTTTCAGTCTGTCTGAAGATGTCTATAAGCCCTGCAACAGTTGATTATGTGGCATCCATGCATTCAGAAGGCAAGAAGCAATCTTAATGATTCTCAATTCAGGCTCTGTGAGACTGTGAATGTTTCTGCTAATTGATTAGTGAGGTTCTTCACTATAATTACCATTTCCCCACTTCTCTTGCAGGATCTCATAGGACTATAGGATAATAGAGTTTGTGATTATCCAGTTCAGGGGTTCTTTACCATTTGGGGTAATCATTTCACCAATTGATTTGCCTCATGTCATAGTAATTACTGCAACAACGTAATTTGAATAGTAATCTCTTCAATATCATTGGTGAAATGGTCATAGGATATTAGGGAGATATGATCTGGTCATTGATATTGGTGGAACAGTCCAGATGAGGGCTCATGATCAATACTCCACAACCTCTCAGCCCTGGGAGAGTGCGGGCAGGGGTGGGCAGAAATGGAGCCTTCCCTCTGAGGACCTGACTTGTCAGTACATATGTAGACTATTCAAAGCCTATATGCCACCACTGATCAATTGATTTGTCTCCTTCGGTGTTTACTTCAAACTGCCTTCAAAGGTAAGGATTGTTTCATTTTTTACTTTGTATCCCCAGCACCTGTAAAGTGCTTGGCACGTAGTAGGTAATTTATACGTGTTTGTTGATTGATTGATTGATTGTGGGTTGCCTTAGACACTAAGATGATAGCAGTGCTTCCATGACAAAATGTAAGTAAACAAATAAGTGATTGTTTTTGAGTTTTCTTTAAACTTTACCTTGAAGTGAGTGGAATTCTTGGTTTCATTTAGAATTCCATATTTTTGTGTTCAGCTGTCTTTATAGAAATACTTTCTTTTACATTTTTTCAAAATAAAAATAAAATTTTAAAAAGAATAGAAGCAATAGAATTTTTATTGAATTCTGATGCCTAGGAACTAATATGTTTGGTTGAGGGAAAAGGTAGAGACTTACA